TAATTGAACAGTAAGTGCTATTTAAAGTCGTCTTGGAAGAATTCCCAGTTTCACTGTTGGGAAAGAGAAGTTTATATCTTGGGATTTTGTTCTGTTCTGAGAATCTGCACACACGACTGTGCATGCAGCTCTTTTATGTGGTTGAGATTCAATTAAATCCGTTGCCTCCAAGTGGCTTTGCCCTACCTCAGCAAGGTGTACCCACCACCATATCCTTTTCCCCACCTTGGGCCCATTCTCTTCCTACTGTGTCACTCCCTGCTACAGCTGATTACATAAAATTTCACAGATAAACACGCCAGTCTCCCTCGTCTTCCTGTCTGATTAATTTAAGAATGTCACAATTCCTTTGTAACAGGATGACTGGTGATGTCATAGGCTTTCCTTATGCGGGTGAGTTGTCAGGAACCAGGATTTCACTCAGACCTCAGGGTATAATTTTGCCAATAAAGGAGGCAGGCCAGGATTTTTGAAACCTTCACCCTAGTCACTAACATGACCCGTAGGCTGCTTACTAATGTGGGTCACAATGTGTAAGGAGTGCGTCATCAATGATGAGGAAATCCTTGTTCTTCAACAGTCACCAAAATGGTCTGGTTTTCCACTGTTTCCTGTTGTCTTGTGTGGTGCATTCTAGGGAGCATAATAATGGGAGAGATTTCCCTGCACGTATTCTTTCAGAGAATCTCAAGTGTTTTCATGTCCTCCTTATTAGTTTGAAGGCTACTACGCAGATGCTCGCCTTTCTCTGCTTCTGTCAGGTTAAGTTGGGAGGGCTACAGTTCTCACGGTCATTGTGGTAAAGTTATCAAATCCCGAATTCTCAGATGAGGCGGAAGGAAGTGAGGGGAGAGTGTCCGGGGAATGCTTCATCAGTAGGAAACAGCAAATGTCTTTTCTCAAGGAGAAAACCTAAGCTACAGGTACGGTTCTACTGCTGAGGTGCTAGGGAACAAAATGGTTACATTTTGGATCAGAAACTCGTGTCTTTGCGTCTCTCTGGGGCTGTGGTGAGGATGGAAGGAACTATGCCTAATGGAAGACACCCGTTTACCTCATTTGGCATCATTTGGGCATGCCCGGGTCGTATCTGCCATTGCAGACGCTACCGTCCAGACCCCACACTGTGGATTTTCTCTCACAGCGTGGCCACAGCTGCTGTCCAGTCTGCACCCCTCAAAGGTCGCACAGCCACCTACCCCTTCACAGTCAGGGTGGCCTGATCCTCAGTGTCTGATTTCTACTCCATGCTAGTTCTAAAACCCAGCTCATCTGTTCAGATCGTGTTCCCAGCCTGAGCCCTACGCCAGGCCTTGAAGCAGCTACGAAGAAAGAGAAAAGCCTAGGGGTTCAGAACGTGGGCTTCAGAATCTCTCGCACGCGGCTCTCACTGGCCATGTGAGCATGAATAAGTTGTTCATCTCTCTGTATTCTTGTGGTTGATCTATAAAATGGAGGTAAAATAATCTTAGACTTTTGTAGATTAAATTAGACAATGTTTAGAAGGACACACAGTACCAGATGTGGTAAGATTTGTGGTAATTAGTAGGATTTCCCAGCATGCCAAGGGACAGAGCCCACTCCCTGTGCTCATTTCTAGGTGCAAGGTGCTTCGTGTCTTGTTCTCTACACGTACTTGGCCCTTCTCTGAACCCCACCCCCCAACACACACACACACACACACACACACACACACACACACACACACACATACAGGGCGAATCAGCAGCAGATGACAGAACACTGACAGTATAATGCTGTCCTCTCAACTTGGTTGATGTTTTTCATCTTTTTTTTTTCTTTTTACTGTTACTTAGACCCTTCCCCCTCAAAAATGCTCCTCCATAAGAACAGAATGTAGAATTTTCTGGTTTTCCTCAACCAAGAAACTCTTTTCAAATAATAATAGAGACTCCTCCATTTGTTTGTTTGTTCATCTTGTTTTTCACTCATTTGTTCATCAAGAAATTTTGCAGTGCTCTGGGCATGGAATTCCCAGCCTTAGTGCACCTTTCCTCTCTAGTGGAAGATTGATTTGGCATGCAGGCAGCTATAGGGCAATGTGATTTAAATAATAATAACTGGGTGAGGGAAAAGTCAGAGGCTCTGGAAGTACTCAGGAAAGGCACCTTGCCCAGATTTGGAGGAGCCGGGGTGAGGGGAGCTTCCTGGAGGAAGTGGTATTACATGGGAGACCCAACTAGTGAGTAACACTTTGCTAGGCACAGAACTGTTTAAGTGACGATTTGGAAGTAAGAACAACTGTGATTTGGAGGAGGAGCACAGTTCAATGTGACTGAAATACAGAATCTTAGGGAGGCATATGAAAAGAGACAGGGTTGGAGAAGAAAGCTAAAGCTGGATTATTTCTCTCTTACACTTAAGATGTGTCCAGCACACAAAAATCAGACTGAAACCTGTGTAGTTCCATTATGAAATGAAGACTAAGGACTTGTAGACATGGAGAAAATCAAGCTGCCTTTACAGTTTTTCAAGTGCAGAGTCTTTATAAGGTTGCTAATTTCTTCTGAGCTATCATGAATTTGAAGATCAGATATACTCAAGCATGCATTCTGAACTCTAGCCCTGATTCCCTCCCGCCACAAAGGCAAATACTGGATATTAACATCCAAAATTAGGATTTGTTTTTCAAAAGCCTTAACCTATATACCTGGTATTATTATAATCCTGACTATAGCTAATATTTTACCATGTAAATTATGCTACATAAGAAGATAAAAATCTTTTGACTCAAACTTTAATCAAAGTTAACTGAATTAAAGTGTTCTTTAATGATCTATATTAGTTTGAGAATAATTTTATAAAATCAACAAGAGGAAATCTTTTTTTAAATTCTTTTTGAGACAGAATTATACTCTGTTGCCCAGGCTAGAGTGCCCTGGCTTCATGCTAACTCACAGCAATCTCAGACTTCTGGGCTCAAAGGATCCTCTTGGCCCTGCCTCCTGAGTAGCTGGGAATACAGGCACCTGCCACAACACCTGGCTAATTTTTGTTTTCAGTACAATTGAGGGTCTCTCTCCTGCTTAGAATGGTCTCAAACTCTTGAACTCAGGGGATCCTCCTCACCTTGGCCTCCCAGAGGGCTAGGATTATAGGTGTGAGCTACCACATCTACCCATTAAGAGGAAATCTTATTACTGAACTGTAACTGTCTATCAAAATATCCCATATTTGTGTTTTCATGATTGTTCATTTCATGATTGTTCACGCTATCCCCTCTGCTAACAATGCTGGCTAAAACCTTCGTCTTTCAATGCCCATTTTGCATCCTTTGACAATTTCCATGTTTGCTTCTCTGCAAGTAAACTAAACCATATCTTCCAGTTGACTTGTATTTTCAACTTACCTGTCATGTATTTTGAAGAGTTTTACTAGATTTAGTAAATAGGAGTCTGCCCTTAGTCTATATCTAACTATAGCACTTAGTACAGGGCATGCACTGTTTAAATGATAATGATAAAATATCTATACAGAGGGCTCATGGAAGTATTTAAGTTTCACAAATAGATAATCTAATCCTTCCCAACTCTGACGAGAAAAAAAAAAAAATGAAGACAGTTGGTTCCTTATTAATTGAAGGCTTCCTACCCAGTGGGTAACCTGCTGCAGTTTCTGAAGATGAAACTGTTCCATGGGCTCCTGTGCCATCTTCTGTGATCAGAAGCGCCAGATGAGGGCTTCTGCAGGAAGACCATAGTCTCTAGTTGTAGAAGTTCTGTAGGAAGTGAAACTAACCACGGGAAGGATATGAGCACCAGTCTCATCCTGTATTCTAGATATGTAGACATTGTTACCCGTGAAGACAGCCCCGTGTTTGTTCAGTCTTTTTGTTAAATATCCCCTTATAAAGACAACAGCCGTCAAGCCACTTAGATAACACATCTGCTCTCTAAATGAGTTGAAATATGTAAATGGTTACAGCATTCAACAAATGTTGGTTGTGGCTCTTAGTTTTAATATTGTTCCATTCTGTAGAGCTGTGCTGACCAATAAATACCCACTGGCCAACTGTGCCTGTTCAGCACTTGAAATGTTACTTTTCATAATGAGATGTGTTCTCAGTCTGTGGACCCCAACCCCAGGCCATTAGGAACTGGGCCACACTGCAGGAGATAAGTGGTGAGAGAGAAGCTTTATTTATATTTACAGCAGTTCCCCATTACTGCCATCACCCGCTGCGTCTCCTATCAATTATCTGCATTAGGTTCTCTTAGGAGCATGAACCCTACTGAAAACTGTACGTGGGAGGCATCTAGGTGTGCACGTTCTTATGAGAATCTCATGCCTAATGATCTGGGGTGGTTCAAAGGCAGTGAGGCTAGTGCTGGGGAGCAGTTGCCAATACTGATTGTCATTAGCAGAGAGGTTTGACTGCACAGAGACCATAAAAAATCAATTGCTTGCAGACTCACATCCAAACCACACCCCTCCACTCCACTCCCATTCTGTGGAAAAATTGTCTTTCATGAACCCAGCCCTTGGTATGCCAAAACATTAGGGACCCATGCTCTAAGTACACAGAATTTCAAAGACTTAGTAGAGAAAAAGCATGCCAACTAGCTCATTCACAATTTTTATATTCATTGCATGCTAGTTTGCATATACTGAGTTAGCTAAAATACATTATTAAAAGTATTTCTCCTGTTGATTTTCTACTTTATTCATGTGGGTGGCTCCTAGTAAACCCAAAATTACATATGCGGTTTACGTTGGTGGCTTGTATTATATTTCCATTGGACAGTGCTGCTTCCGAGGGACCTCCCAGGCTGTGTGGCAGGACAGCGGGATTGCTGACATTGGGTGAGGATCTTGATCAGCTCAGAGGAGAGGATGCAGGTCAAGTCATAGTGGAGCAAATAGGAACTGTTCACTGGAAAAATAGAAATTGACTATGTTTTCACTGTTTGTAGGCAGGTTTATCTTTAAGAAACTATACTCAATGCTTTATGTCTAATTTAAAAATATCTTATTTCTAGGCTACTGGTTGGCTCACCTTGGAGTGGCTTTCCCAAGAACCGAATGGGAGACGTGTATAAATGTCCTGTTGACCAGTCCACTGCTACGTGTGAAAAACTGAACTTGCAAAGTAAGTCTTAATTAGTAAGTGATTTTTTTTAACAAATAGCCAAATCTCATTTGTTATATGAGTGGTGTCCAGAATGAATCTGGCCATTGTTAACACTATTTTTAATATTATAGGGATGGCAGCTCTTGTATAGCCAACTGAAAACACCTAAAACGATCATTGTTCTTTTTTTTTAAGAAATGAAGAGTGCATTTTTGCTTTTACCTCTTTAGCTGTAGGAGCCCCAATTATATCCAAATTTTTAAAATAGTCTGGAGATCTGACTTAACAAGATGTGTGAGAAATGTGCTGCCTCCTGAACCACCTGCCCTCAGACCACGGGCTGGTTTCCCTCCACATTGAGGATTATTTTCCTGATTACACGCAGAGATCTGAGGCTATTCTTATTTCTCTCTCTTCTCAAAGCAAACTATGAATTTGGAGATATCAGTAACTAGGGGCCAGGAAATACTCCAAGTTTCTGATTGCATCTAAATGATTGCATTCTAATAAAACAAACCTGTCACTTGGAATTATTTGCTGTTTTAATGATCTACCTCCCAGATGACTTCTATTATAACACAAACAGTTATGAAAGATGCGCGTGTAGAAAGCTGAGTGAGTAATACTTCCATGCAGTATTTCCTGGGGCGAGTGAATGTCACTGAGTTTCATCATCGTCACACCAGCACCAGCCAGAAGCAGCAGCACTGAGGACTCAGGGAGTCATGGGCTAGGAAAACACAACATCGTGAGAATCAAGAGAAAGAAGAGTTTCAAAAATAGTGTTGAAGACTTGGGAACAAGGGCTGGACTGTTTCTTACACATCAGTGCATCACTAATGTGTAAAGTAATGTCTGGCATAGATAGGGATCAATAAACACGTTCCCCATGGAACGGAAGGAACATCAGTGGAGAGGTTAAAGGGGATGAGGACTCAGTAAGTTTCTTTGGCTTATTTAAGGGAGTTGTGAGTGACGTAGATCAGCGATCTCCAAACAATTGGAACACTGACTGTGAGTGTGTGTGCATGTGTGTACAAAAATACACATACATACGCTAACAAAAGTATATACTGTAACATAAGTGCCTGAAGTTTTATTATATAGTTCAAAATTTTATTTTATAACCCCTAATCCTGGGACACAATTATAAGGAAGACTTTACCTAACAAATGCAATCACTGTAACCCAATTCTTGGTACCCTCACTGAATCCCAAACAATAAAAAAATAAAATAAACTGCTTATCCAGTATACTAAAAAATAAAATAAAATACACCCTAATCCTATCACCCTTAACTTTTGAACATTTGTCCCTAATATATATAAGTTTATTATTTTTTAAAGTTATATATAGCATGTATGCTTGCATATCATCTTCCTATTAACACGTTCATATAAAAATAAACTTAAAGGAATAAAACCATGCATGTAGAAGTTCTATTATTTTCTCTCTGCACTCTAGCAGATTGTATTTTATGAAACTTGCTCACCTAGAGTATAAATCCAGTCGTATTGTTGGAGAAAATAGATAACAAAGAATGTAGAACTGTGTGAGTAGTGGGTAAGCCCAAGGGGTCCATTTCTGGAAATTGAGCTGTGAAGGAGAGCCAGGAAAACAGTTCTACAGGATGGCAAGATTAGGGGAAGATTTTTAGGGACAAGGCGATGATCCTATTTGTAGGCAGCATGGCAGGAGACAGTGAAAAGGGAGTCACTATTCATCAAGGATAGAGTTGGCGGAATTAGTGTCATTGGGACCTGGGAAAATGAGTCTTAGAAAGAATGCTTTATCCCCTAAGACATGGAGGAAAGAGATGAAAAGTAAGAGTTCTAATAGTGGTCTTTGCTTATAGATGAAAGGCCAGCTACACAGCTTATATCTCTGTAATCTCTGCACTTTGGGAGGCTGAGGCAGGAGGATCACTTGTGGCCAGGAGGTTGAGACCAGCCGGAGCAACATATTGAGACTCTGTTTCTACAAAAAGAGGGAGAGGAAGAGAGAAAGTTAAGATTCACCTGAGTGCAATTTGTGTTCTGTGCAGTAGATGAGTTGTTTACTGAGAGCAATGGGACCTAGGTTGAAGTGGGAGGCTTGAGAAGAAGAGTGGAAGTTTACAACAGTTGACGTAGGAAATGAAGGAAGGAATCCAGCTAAGAATCAATGAAAGTGGCAGTGATGGCTCAGCAGAGACTAGAAAACATGAGTGATAATGATATTGAGGAGCATTGCAATGTTTAATAACTCCAGCATGGCTACAGTGACCTGTGCTAGTTCAATGGGGAGAGGAGATGGAGAGATTTACTTATTTTACAGGGCTACTCTCCTGGTTTGCTTTAAAATTCACCCACTATTGCTTTGGGTCAGATTCTACCAAAGGGCATTCTCTGATGACACTTTAAGGATGTTTTTACTGATCCAGGAGAAAAAGCATTACATAGAGCCAACACAACTTTGAGAAGAGCAGAGGATGCAAGAGAACAAATGGTGCCTTAGATATATTTTGTTTGGCCAGAGCATTGTGAAAAAAGATGTACATTTAAATATCTCTGGATCATGGCCTCCCCAGACACCCCCCACCCACTCCGTAATGTCTCATGCTCCACGGCCTCCCACGGGAAGGTGAGCTGCCAGATCACGGAACGGATCTCCTCTCCCTACACGGCATCATCCACCCAAGCCCCTGTATATGTGAAACTAAATTCAATGCCACGTAAAAACATGAGTATGCCTGTTTGTTTTTCTTTAACAACTGTAAGTAAATGGTGCAGATTTAATCACTTTTTAAAATCTCTTTTCCTCTTGAAAGCTTCCATAAGCATTCCGAATGTTACTGAGATGAAAACCAACATGAGCCTTGGCTTGACGCTCACAAGGAACGTGGGAACTGGAGGGTTTCTCGTGAGTGTTTACTTTTCCAATCTTCGCTCCTCTCAAGGAAGTATGTAGCCAGTGTCTTCTCACCACCCTTCCCATCTCTTTGGATCTTTTGAGGTTTTCAGAGCTTGCGTTCTGATAAATTATGTAATTTGGATACCCAATGGAGCAAACTAATCTGTTGGACATTTTAGGAGATTCTACAAAATCATTGCCACAGATTGTTTTGGGGAAAGGGGACTAAAGAAACACTGATTCTTTGCCCTTGGAGAGGATGCTGAGTATTTGTTGATAACGGCAGAATCTCAAATCTCATTTCTACTTCCTGTGGGAACATTCAAGATAGGTACTACTAATTTAGAAACAAGTTTCAAAACTAAGAAGAGTTTTTGTTTTAAATCATTTCCTGTAACTGTTGACTAATCTGGTATTATTTCAGGCAAGGCACAGTCTCTTATTTTGTTTCATGCCACTGTTTACTCCTGTTTAGTTTCTGAAATACTAAGACATCACAAATCAGTGAAATAGAATGCCCTATTTAAAGAGTTGTCTGGGGACAATTAATTGGTTAATAGTTTGCATTTCCAAGTACACTTTCAAGTGAATTAAAGAGTTGAGATAAAAAAACAGGAAAATGGAAATTTTATGAGATAAGGAAGAATTTCTAAGCTTAGAACTAACAGAAGTAACAACATAGGAATTATTGAAAAGATTTGACGAAATAAAAGTTGAAAGACTTTGCATACCCCAGAAAAAAAATTTTAAAGGCAAACAAAAATTCAATCTTATCAAAATTTCTACTAGCTGATACAGGTATATCCTGGTCGTAAGCCCTGTTAAAATTGTCTTAGGAAGCCTACCTTCACTTCACATTAGTTATATCTAGCTCATTGATATGCTAACTTAAAAGCCTGTTTAATAAGTGGATTATTCTAAAAGGTAATCAATTCTGAACAATGTAATTTTACTTAATAGATATTAGCTTTCAGTGATTTTGCTGCCATTAAGTAAATTAGATACTCCTTGTAATATGTGTTATATCAGTGGGTAAGTGAATACTGCCATGGGTCGCCATGGTTTATGATATTCCAAAGCCTTTGTGATAGGATGGCCTTCATTTTTTTTCTGTTTGTTTGTTTTGTAAGGTTGCATAAATCAGAAAAAGGAACATACTAAGATTTATGAATTATAAATTATGCCTCCAATTTTATCTATCTCTCCAGATAAAGTAAAATAGAATTGCAGGAGAATCAGGGATTAATTTAATAGTCAATGGAGCAAACAGAGAGAGAGGAGAAGAGGAGGAAAGAAAAAAAGTCCAAGTTTCCTTTATAGATCTAAAAGGTCAAAATCAGAAGATACTCAAGAATGATGTGGAAAAGACTGACAATCATCAAATTTTTTGGAACCTTCTTAAATTCTGGGCTTTAAGCAGGAATGTAGTTCTGGTATTCATTATTGGCCGTATCCTAATTTCAACTTCTTAATGCTGTTTTCCATTGCTTTTAAAAAAAAAATCTTCTTCTGGATATTTCAGGAGTCATTTTACTTTTTTATGAGTTATTTTTCAAGGTGACACAAAAAAGTTAGGAATGGGGGTACAGGAATCAACAACTGGTATCTGTTATTTGGTAAACTAATCAAAAGCATTAATCACGATTTTCTCCTAACTAATTGGCAAAATGAACTAGTTTTATAAGTGGAAAACTATGCCTTGTGCATGAGGCATGAAATATGACCACAGTTGCCTGTCCTTTGAGCTATTAACAATTAAAGTGGGTCAAACAAAGTCCATTTTGTTTTTCTAGCAGCTTCTTGCAAGAATTCTGTTCAATTATAATGGTTGAGCCACAGCTTTCCATAAGGTGACATTTGTAGGTATTTTTTAGGATCTTGACTAAATTTCTAATTTCCACTTATTTCCTTTCTCATCTGGCAATTTTAGTATTATTTCCTCTAATTGTCCCCATGTGATTTAATCATAATTCGATCAGTAGGTCATGGCACACCCAGGGACTCCAGAAAAGGGGGGCCACTTTAGTGGAGATTTTAAATGGGGACCACTTTAATGGAGATATTAAAAATTTCAGTATGTGTGATATGGGCAAGGCCCCACGTGCCAGCCGGGAAGTAGAACTGGGAGGTTTTGACACCCTCACAATAAAGAAATACATTATAGTGCAGTTAAACATTGACAGTCAATCAACCTCATTTGTGTTTGCTTAGCATATAGAGGAATTTTTTAAACTATGAATTTTCACACAAAATTTGTCCCTTCCTGAGTTTCTTTAAAAACTGGGGAATCTGGCAAAGCAGAGCCTGTGTCACACCCGAGGGTGGGCAGGAACCATCAGGCCCTGTACACAGGCACTGCTTCTTCGTTTACCAGGGTGTCGCACCTGACCCCAGACTCTTCAAGGGCTACTGCTCGGCCCATGAGGCCACTGGGTTTACGATTTCTGCTCAGTAGTATGGAAGGAAGGAACTGGAGGGACGTAGTATTTAATAATAACCCCGATAATGATGCTGGTTAACAATAATCCAGCACTTGCTATTTACCTGGCACTGTTCTAAGTGTTTGGTATCCACAGACCCACTTAATCTTCACAACAATCTTAGAAGATAGGAGGTATGATCCTTCTCATTTGACAGATGGTGCCCAGATGACTGAGGGACCAAAAGGGGACTTTGGATTCATTTTCCTCCTGGGTATTCTCTGCAAGAAAAGCACCATTTACCCCTTTTCTGTAGCTCGGTGGGTGGGTCCTTCACTGGCACCTGCTGGTGACAAGCCTGGTTTCCCTACCTGGAGGCCTCCGTCAGGCAAAAAGCATCTGCCACTTTCCCCATCACTCCTGCCTACCCCAGTGGACTCTGACTCAAAGGCATTTTTGACTGTTTAGTTTCAAGAGTCGACAATTACTAGTCTCTTGGGAAAGAACAGAAATGATTTCTGAGTTGTGCAGTGGAAGGGTAGAAGATTAGCATTTTGAGTTCTGCAGTGGAGAGGTAGAGGGTTTCCATTTATGGTTTTCTCATTTCTTTGAAGACGTGTGGTCCCCTGTGGGCACAGCAGTGTGGAAATCAGTATTACACAACCGGTGTGTGTTCAGACATCAGTCCCAACTTTCAGCTCTTGGCCAGCTTTTCGCCTGCAGTTCAGAGTAAGTTGGGAATGCAGAGATGGGAGAGCATTGCCTGACAGTTAAGGGGAGTTGCGGAATTATCAACAAGTCCCACTCAACCCCTCCCTAAGTCTCATTTTTATGTGGATGTAAAGTTTGAATTACCAATGGATATCTGCTTCTTTCATCTTTTCCTGTGTAGCCTGCCCCTCCCTCATAGACGTTGTGGTTGTATGTGATGACTCAAACAGTATTTATCCCTGGGAAGCAGTAAAGAATTTTTTGGAAAAATTTGTACAAGGCCTGGACATAGGGCCCACAAAGACACAGGTATGGATGTCAAAAGTACATACACTAGCCCACAGCTTTTTTTCCTGAAAAAACATGGTTAGACTTACAGTCTTAATTTTTGCATTTGTCAAACTCCTATTTTAAATGCATCTGACGGTAACTGTGAGTATTGAATGAAATTTGTACTACGCTGGGTTATTCTACCTCAGACTTTGCCCTATACTGGTCTTTTGACCTTGGAATTCTGTTTCTGACATGGGAATTGAGGGTATGAGATATAACATTTTAATTCTTTTTTAGTTACCCAATTCATGGGTTAGAAGGGGGAAACTACAAATTCAAGATGTATTTTTTTCTTCATGTTCATTAGAACTAACAATGAATTTCTTTTGTTTACTCTTTACTGGTATTAGACTTTGAAATCCTCAGACTTACTTTTGATCTTTTCTTTCCTCTCAAGTCTTACATTCTACCCTAAAGAAGAGGGTTCAGGAATATTGCATTTTTCACCATCTTCCCAGAGTTTAGTCTTTGTAGCAAAAAAGTAGCAGAGTAAACTCAGAAATCTAGTCTTATCCCTTCCACACTCCTTTCATACTGACCTTCATCTTTTTTTGGTTAACTGTGGCATATGTACACTATGGAATACTATTTAGCCATAAAAAAGATGGAGATGTTACAGCTTTTGTTTTAACCTGGGTAGAGCTGGGAACATCCTCTTTACTGGAGCCTCTTAACTACTGATGTCTTATTGGCACTTCCTGTTCTGGAAAGCCTGTCTCCTATTCTTAGAGGATGATTACAGTGGCTGAGGACAAGGACATTAACAGAAGAGTATGACTTTCTTGATCTCTAGGATTAGGGAATGTTCAGAAATTCTTTTCTCAACTCTCTCAAATAAGATTCTCTCTAATTGTACTTTCTCTGAAAGGCAGAAACTCCCTGCCCCCCCCCCCACACACACACAGATAGCAACTTCCTGCCAGAGATGCCAAAGCCCGTGACACAGGAAATCCAGCACATTACATCCATCCAAACATACTCCATTGATTAAAAGCACACTGATTTGTCTTTTTTTTTTTTTTTGAGACAGAGCCTCAAGCTATCCCCCTGGGTAGAGTGCTGTGGCATCACAGCTCACAGAAACCTCCAACTCCTGGAGTCAAGTGAGTCTCCTGCCTCCGCCTCTCAAGTAGCTGGGACCACAGGCGCCCGCCACAATGCCCAGCTATTTTTTGGTTGCAGCCATCATTGTTGTTTTGGCAGCCGGGCTGGATTCGAACCCACCACCTTAGGTGTATGTGGCTGGCGCCTTAGCCACTTGAGCCACAGGTGCTGAGCCCACACTGATTTTTCTTACAGTCAACTCTGATTCTTTATTACACAGTTACCTTTAATTGATGAAATGGTCCCCTCCACTAGTATAGCTTACATTTGTTTATAAGCATCTATCTATCGACATTTAGAATGTTTGTTTGAATGTTACATTAAAATGTTAATTTTAATATTTTTATTAAAAACCTAGTTCTAATATTCATTCTTAGTAAAGTATTATAGGTCTATGCTAATATTCATCCTTAGTAAAATACTATAGACGTGTGCTTAAAAATCTACAATTATTACTCTTGAGAACCAAATCGTAAGCTGTAGCACATCATTTTGTTTGGCAGTCATTGCTACTTTTCACCTCTAAAAAAGAAGAAATGATTCCCTAAAATGAATAATAACTATCAGTATTAGTTACTCTATCAGTCATAGAGTTGGAAGTGATTCCCTTCAACTACCAGCCCATGCCTAAATGTACCTTTAATTTTTATCATATTGGTTAAGTAGAAATTATTTATAACTCTATGACAGTCCATTAATAGACTTCTACTCTTTTACAGGTGGGGTTAATTCAGTATGCCAATAATCCAAGAGTTATATTTAACTTGAACACTTTCACAACCAAAGATGAAATGGTCGTGGCAACATCCCGGACATCCCAGCATGGTGGGGACCTCACAAACACATTCAAAGCCATTCAATTTGCAAGGTAAGTTTTGGTGCTAGTAGGCAAATATTTTGATAACATAAAAGTGCACATAAGGACGTAAAAGGAAGGAAATGACAAAGAAAAATAATATACCTCGTACTCACACTTAACACTTAAATTAGAAGTAATAAGGAAAAAAAGCCTAAATAGTCTATGACTTGAGTACTTGGAGAAGGCAGTTGGAAAAGAGAGTCAAAAATCTTGGATTCTAGTGTTTTTCTATATGACATGATTTTATATACTACATGATCATATATGACATGATTTTTATAGGAATTTATATACTACATGATCATGGATTAATGATTTTTATATCATTTTATATACGCTGTGATCATAGATTACGTGATTCTTATACGATTTTATAAATTGTGGAAAAGGCAGATTTGGTCAGGATGGGATATGTTTTTTTTTAAATTTCTTTTCTTTTTAAAATTTCTGATATTTGTGTTCTTTTTTAAAAAAATGTATCTTCGGTTTTTGTGCAAGCCCTGAAGCCCCTTTGTGCTCCCTACAGCATATATTGCCTTGCATGATTTTACACGATTTTTATATGATTATATGAGATGAGAAGACCTTAGTTTAAAATGATAGGAAATGGAGAAGTCAGTCATTATTTATTAACACTCATCAGTGCTGCTGACAAATCAAGTTCAAGGAGCACTTCGTGCAAATTAACAAGGGCCAGTAGAATCTTAACCATGAATCCGAACTGAGCTCAGTGACTTTATTATGCTAATGATAAAGCATTATTCATTAGCATAATAATGATATAATGCTTTATCTGTGAGAAGTGTGAATTGTACACATGTATAGCACTCTTCTCATTCTTATCTCAGTTTCTCCATTTCCTCAGCTCTACCGACCTTCATCTTCGCCTCTATTTTGACCAGATCCCTTTACAGAAATGCTAAACACTCTCCTGTTATTAAAAAATAAATGAGAACAATGTGGTACCCGTTTCTCAGTGGTTAGGGAGCCGGCCACAGGCTCCAGGTGGGTGGGTTGGAACTCAGCCTCGGGGTCTGCTAAAACAAACAAACAAATGAGAACCATAAGCTTGCTTTCCCTCAAACCTGCTTTCTGCCTTTTTAATCTTGTGACTTCTTTCTTTCCACTACCATAATTCTTGGAAAGGGTCTCTGTGCCCTCCCTCTACTGCCTTGAAAACTGTTGCTCTGTCACTAGGTGACCATGGCCCTTTAGCCCCCCAGCTCCAGTGGTCCTGGTGCAAGCCTTACTCTCCTTGGCTCCTCTGAACGTTGTGATGAGCACCCGCTGCTAGGCTCAACCCAGTTGCCATGACAACACAAACTTTTGGAATCCTTGCCAACTTCTTGTCAACAACTTCTGCCTCTGTACTGGCTCCTTTTCCTACCTTTTCTTCACTAAACAGAGCCCTTTCTTTTGTATTACCCTTCTCTTCTAGGAATTGTATCCATTCTCAGGGGATCAGCATCAGCTCCACATGGGTTACCCCATCGCCAGGTTATTAGCCCTGAACTCCCTTTCACAACTCACACAGGCATCCAGCTAATGCCGACTTTCCTTGTTGGGAGTGTTGGCTCACATACCGAATTCCCTGTGCCCTCAACTGGCCTTACCCTGTGACCTGCCACTTTATGACTTGGCTGTTTTGATTCATTCCTGCTTCCTCAGTCATTCAGACTAAACACTTGATGGTTTTCTTTATTGATTCCCCCCCTAACATCACACATCTGGTCAGTCACCACATCCTGTCCTTTCTATTTCTGCGTTTCCCCTCCTTGGATCTGTCCCTTCTTTTTTATTGCATGTATATTTTAGTTGCTGCTTCTATGATCCAGTGACTACCTCCACATGTCTCAAAAGCATATCTTCACAAGAGAAGATATGAGTGGTTTGGTTAATCTTTCTGTCCCTATTAAGATGTCCTTTGGGGCCAGGCCACCTCATAAGCTGCTGGTCAGTCAGTGATGTCAACTACCAGTTAGTGAAGTGCCCTCCCTGGTCCAGCAAACTGGACAACAGAGGAGAAATAGAGATAGAAAATGGCCTTCCTGGAGTTAGAAGCTGCTGAGGGCCCCCATTTTCAGCAGGAAGTGTGGGTGTGGCATTTTTCCCTGGAAGGAGCCTAGGGCCTGACTTTCTTTTCCAGGCTAATGGCCAGGATCCATGGAGGTGGAACTTTCTGGCATTCATCATCTTTCAAAACTCTGGTTTGCTCCTCTGATTTATTCTTTGTGCCATTGGCTATCTCCCTCTCACCATGATTTTCCAAGCTAAAAGGATTTAGTCTTCCTGGTGCTAGGAGAACCATTCAGCTTTTTACTCACACCTCCCAGAATATAATTACCTCTATTTCTTGTCTCTCCTTTCATCTCTTTCTTTTAAACACTGAGTAGACCAAGCAAGCACATTGGCTCACACCGGTAATCCCAGTATTTTGGGAGGTTAGAAAGTTGCTTGTGGGCAGGAGTTTACGATCAGCTTGGGCAACATAGAGAGACCCCTGTCTGTACAAAAAAAAAAAAGTAAAAATTAGCAGGGTATGGTGGCAAGCACCTGTAGTGTCAGCTACTTGGGAGGCAGAGGCAAGAGGATCCCTTTAACCTAAGAGTTGAAGGCTGCAATGTGCTATGATGACGCCATTGAACTCTAGCCTGGATGACAGAGCAAGACCTTGTCTCTAAAAAAAAAAACAAAAACCAAAATCATTGAATAGAATCTGACACTCTTTCAGTAAATATTGCCATATTTCCATTCACCTTATTTCACCTGCCCTTATTAATAAAGCACTGTGGGTAGTTAAAACTAACTAAGGTACCGTTCTATCCTCAAATACCTTATAATTATACATGAGATCTATAGTGTGTCATAAAGAATATATGTTACTTAAAACAGGTTTGATGTGAATTCTGTAATTCAAATTTAACTGACTGAAAATGGGAATACTTTCTATCATTCTATATTCTATAGTGTGGAATACAAAAATGATTTCAGGAATTAAAATAATATGTTCAGCTAATTTGGCATTATCAATCAAAATTGGAAATGTGTACATCCTTTGATCCAACAATTTCCCTAGTAAGATTTTATCCCATTGATACATTTGAACAAATATGCCAAGATACATACACGTGGATATTCATTACAACCTTACTTGGAAAGCACAAAATAGGGTAAATACCCAATAATGGGGAACTAGTTAAATAAACTACGGTGCCTCCAAACAATGAAATATGATGCAGCCATTGAAAAAACAATGATGAGGACCTTATATGTACAGATGGAAAGATCACCATCAAAATAAAAACCAACTGTTTAGAATATGCCCCCATTTGAGTAAAAGTTTAAGGGGTAAACTATGCGTATGCCCATACTACATCTAAATAAAACATTTTCTAGAAGGAAACATAAGAAGCTGATAATAGTGGTTACCTTCACAGAAGGACTTTGTCTCGAATTTTTGTTTATACCTTTCCAAATATTTTGAACTTTTGTACCATGTGTATCTATTACATTTTTAAAAATAAGTATTGAAAAAGTAAGCACAGATCCAATAAGTAAAAGTTGTGACAGAAGTATCTTTGCTCTATTGACTAGTATTAATGAATTCAACTTTCTTAGAAGAAAATAATTCTAAGGCATCCTGGGGTGAATACATGTAACATATACACACATAAGCCATGACATGTAACTTAAATATGTCACGAGAATTGATATGGAGACAAATCTGAGTCACAACCCTTGTGCCCCCAAAGCCGGTTTTGTACTTCTATTAGATTTCAAACCAGAGGGCCACATATTAACTTCACCTTATGATAGTGCGTCTTTAATTTTTATCGGTCACAGAGATTTCGCTTACTCGGCAGCTTCTGGTGGACGACCAAGCGCTACCAAAGTAATGGTGGTTGTCACAGATGGTGAATCACATGATGGTTCAATGTTGAAAGATGTGATTGATCAATGCAACAAAGACAATATACTGAGGTTTGGCATAGCAGTAAGTGGCTGTTCTTTTTACTTGTTTGATAGCCATTGGATAAATGTTCCTTTATTACATCACTTCCCAAAGCTCCAATTTCCCATTGGCTATAATATTTAACATAAAAGAAAGTTTTTACTCTATCTCTACTTTTTGCTGATCTTCAGTTCTTTCAACTAAATAAAAGGTTGTGGAGACATTGCTTGATTTACTTCTCCAGGAGGGCTATTGTGTACCAAAATAGACTAGGATTTAGTAAGAGGGAAATTGGAGTACAGTGGTAATGACCTTTTTCCCTCTTCCTTTGTTTTCAAGGTTCTTGGCTACTTAAACAGAAATGCCCTTGATACTAAAAATTTAATAAAAGAAATCAAAGCGATTGCTAGCATTCCGACAGAAAGATACTTTTTCAACGTGTCTGATGAAGCAGCTCTACTAGAAAAAGCTGGGACCTTAGGAGAACAAATTTTCAGCATCGAAGGTAGAAAATCAATCAGGTTTTTTCTAAAACTTTTTAGAATTGTTTATGTTGTTATCATGCTTATTCTATTAATGTTAACTTGTATGACTTGTATAAAAAGAACTCTTATAAAACAGGAAGAAAAATGGACAAATAATGTGACTAAGTAGCTTATAAATTATAAAACACAAATTACTAATGAACAGAAGAAAGTATTCCCAATTTTAGTAAGTATTTAAAAGGACAAATTAAACCATTATATTTTGTCTTAAAGATGGCACAGATTAATAATATTTAAACTTGTGTAGATTTATTGGGAAGCAAAGAAGCTCAAGGAAGCTGTTGATGAGGCAATAATTTTTTAACTTTTGGGGAGCAACTTAGTAATAGCTATTATACTTGTAAATAGTTTTACTATTTTTTTTTCAAAGAGACAGAGTCTCATTTAATCATCCTCGGTAGAGTGCTATGACATCATAGCTCACAGCAACCTCAAGCTCTTGGGTTCAAGTGATCCTCTTGCCTCAGCCTCTGGAGTAGCTGGGACTACAGGTGCCACACCACCTGGCTTTTTTTTTTTTTTTTCAGAAATGGGGTCTCGCTTTTGCTCAGGCTGTTCTCAAACTCCTGAGCTGAATCAAGTAATCCCCCTGCCTCAGCCTCCCAGAGTGATGGAATTACAGGCCTGGGCCACCACACCTGGCCAGTTTTACCTTTCTATAGTATGTTATTTAAGTTCTAAAATTCTTGAATTTATTTACAATAAACATATATAACTTTAAAATTAGAAAAATATAGCCAGGTGGGGTGGCTTATACCTGTAATCCTAGCACTCTGGGAGGCCGAGACAGGTGGATTGCCTGAGCACATGGGTTCAAGACCGGCCTGAGCAAGAGCAAGATCCCATCTCTAAAAATAGCCATGCATTGTGGTGGACGCCTGTAGTCCCAGCTATATGGGAGACTGAGGCAAGAGAATCACTTAAGCCCAAGAACATGAGGTTGTGAGCTGTGATGCTATAGCTACTCTACCAAGGGCCCCAAAATGAAACTGTCTCTAAAAAAAAGAAAGAAAGAGGGAAAGAAAGAGAGAGAGAGAGAGAGAGACAAAGAAAGAAAGAAAGAAAGAAAGGGGACTTCTAGTTTTTCGGTTCAGTTTTTGAAGAAACATTTTATTTATCAGACATAAAGTAATTTGCTTAGGTGGTCTTGGAAGTTCTAGTTAGCGTAGACACGTGCTCAGGAGCTCACCGTATGGAGGACTAGAACACACTTCACAGCTGGTTAAAAAAAAGTTCCACATGACCTAAATCCTGGTTCCAGACAGTTAACCCAAGTGTCTCTCTGCAATATAGAACATATTTTGTTGAGCACCATGTATTGCACACAGCCTTAGAATTATCCAAAATGTTTTATTGCTTCTTCAATATCTGATGTACTTCTAAGTTGTTTAAATCATCATCACAACGTAATGTGCCCTGATATAATGCAAAATTACTAGACTATCCACCCTCATAATTTCATGTGTTTGTAGTAGCCTGAGTAAGAACAACTACAATCTCCAAGCTAACTAGAAATGATTTGGAGCATTACCTGCTATTACAGGCTTCGGGGGAGTGCTGTCCTATTTTATTAAAAATTATCTTGACTCACCTTGAGAAAATTCTTACATCGTGGAAATGAGACTACATCATGCAGTACTCTTTGCCTTCAAGCCACACTGCCATTCAGAACAACCACCTAATAAAGTGTCAGTCCAGGCATTTAGCTTCCTTTTTTGTGAAGATTAATAAAACATAACCATTTTGACCACTGGAAAATGAGTTTTAACTGAGTCTTCTGGTGTCAGTGACAGAGGCAAGCATGATGTGTGGACTGGAACAAACTTCCCAGTTAGTAAAATCCCTCTCATTCTTGAATCCTTTTCTTACTAACTAACCCAGTTATCTCTCAGCATAGTTTTCACTACAGAGCCATTGCCTCGCTCCTCCACTGCATCTGAGATATTTATAAATTTATTAGTAACAATTTTTTTTTTTGGTAGAATGCTAAGGCATCACAGCTCACACCAACCTCAAACTCTTGGGCTCTAGTGATTCTCTTGCCTCAGCCTCCCCAGTAGCTAGAACTACAGGTGCCCACCACAACACCCGGCTATTTTTAGAGACGGGGGTCTCTCTCACTCTGACTCAGGCTGCTCTCGAACTCATGAGCTCAGGCAATCCACCCACCTTGGCCTCCCAAAGTGCTAGGATTACAAGCTAGTAACAATATTTTGAAAACTAGAAGTTTGATAGTGCCTGTAGCTCAAGCAGCTAAGGCACCAGCTGTATACATCAGAGCTGGCGGGTTTGAATCCGGCCCGGGGCCTGCCAAACAACGACAACTACAACCAAAAAATAGCCAAGTGTTATGGCACCTGTAGTCCCAGCTACTTGGGAGGCTGAGGCAAGAGAATTGCTTAAGCCCAGGAGTTGGAGGTTGCTGTGAGCTGTGATGCCACAGCACTCTACCCAGGGCAATAGCTTGAGGCTCTGTCTCAAAACAAACAAAAAAAAAATCAGAAAACTAAAAGTTTAGTTAGTTTCTTAGCTAGCAATGATAAAGTTCAAAAAGAAAATTGAAAAAAAAATCACCTCAGTTTTCACCTTACCTTGTACCCTTTGCTGAGTGTTCATTGATATCAGGAACGTCATATATATTCCATAAAATACATTAATATTCCATTAAGATGAATGCCAACTTTGAACACTACCTTGGAAGTATTGTGGATTTTTACAAACTGATAGAACCTTTTCTTAGTGACTTCTCTCTCCCAGAGCCCACTAGCTCTGTATTTTCGGGTGAACATCAGAATATTGTGTGTACGTGAGTCTGTGTACATGTGTGGGTGCCTGAGTTTGAAAACTTGATTTAAAATTGCTTATAGTAATACTATTTTTGAAACTGATTTTTTCCCAGGTACTGTTCAAGGAGGGGACAACTTCCAGATGGAAATGTCACAAGTAGGATTCAGCGCAGATTATTCGCCTCAAAATGTGTGTATATCAGACAACTTTAAGCCACACTGCCATTTGGCATAACACTTCTGGGCACAGTAGCTTTGTACATGAAGTGGGAAAACCCCCATCTAGTGCCCTACAGTCCTGGATCCTAGCCACAGCACTTAATTTCTTTGTGCTGAAGATTTATCATCTAAAAATTGAAGATTAATACCTTCCCTTCTCTGTTTCTGATAATATACAAGAAAGCCTTTGCGTGCTCCCGGGCACAGGCACTATGTTAATTTAAGGTATTATCCCTGCAGGAATTGCCTTTGAATCAATTGACTACTAGTAACATCTGTTAAAAACATACACTCTTGTCATCAATGCCTTTGCTGAATGCTGAATTGCTACTATATCATTTTCTAAGAGCAGAGACAGAAAATAGTTGGGAAGTAAAGTATTAGGGAAAATGGGAGAGGGGACTGGGGTACACCACTGTCTTCTTAGCTCAGGGAGGTGCATTCTTGGTTCTTAGAAATATCCGTCTTTCAGGCTTCTGATTCTAATTCAGCTGAGGATCTGAGGAGAGTAGAGAAAGGGTTAAAAAGATATGAGGCCCGGGAAATATTTAGAGAACAACAGGACATCAGGGGGTGGGATCCGCAGGTCAGGGAACAAAGAACAACTTATTTTCTCTAGAATAAAAGGTGCTAACTTTGGGGGGTCATCAGTCCTTAGCAATGTTCATAAAAGTTATGGATCTTTCCCCCAGGAATCATGTAAATGAATCCATATACAGAGAATTTTACACTATATTCCAGGGAGTTTTTATACATGCCCTGAGGCCCTTTCATAGTGCCCAGATTCAGAGTCTGTGATTTTATTATAATCATTCACATGACCTTTTGGTCCCTTACCCTCAAAGTGAGACACATCATTTCCCTGTTTGCTCTTTTTTAATGGCTTGTATTTTTTTAATCTAAGATTTTAGCTTTGATGTTCTAGACTCTAAGATCAAAAAAATTTTTAAATGAATGAATATATCAGAAATTTTATAAAGAAAAAGATTAAAACAAAATCCCATCCTGACCAAACCTGCTTTTTCTGTGAATTATAGCTTGAAGATTCAGGTTGGGTTTTGAGCCCCTCCCTGGCCCTCTCCAGTGCTGACGGTGGTTAGTTCTCTTCTGATAGATTGAATGTCACAGCTGCAGGTGCCTCCCGTGGCTGCACTGTTACCAAAGAGAGGGAAGGTAGGGATGGAGAGGTGCTAGAGGAACAGCTGAACAGTTGGGAAGAGAGAGAAAGAAAGTTGCTAGGAGGTCAGAAGAGGGCGTCACGTGTGCCTGGGAAGTCATCAGCACTTCCTGCTCTCGGGGTTCCTCACAGCCACCTGGGAGCTTTCCTTTCTGAATATGTGGGGCTGGAGACTCACTTCTGACCCCTTCTGTAAGGCTCGTAAGGGTTCAGCATTGGCACTTGTGTACTTTGAATGGCCATTTGAGGATGGCTATGTTCCCATCCTGTACCATAACTAACTACAACTTTCACCTCTATTACATGTCACACAAAGTCAATTCCAAGATAACACGACCCACAGAAAGTCTTGTGCTCCAGCCCAAACATATGAAAACAATTCTATGATATAGCAACATATATTCATATATATATTGACTTCATCATGCTTTGACATTTTTCTTCTAAATCTAAACAGTTTATTCCACTCTTTAAATTCTAAACAGTTTATTCCACCCTACATTCATATGCTTTAAATGTGATTTGTTTTAATGATCTTCATCTTTCAATCATTTTAGGATATTCTGATGCTGGGTGCCGTGGGAGCTTTTGGCTGGAGTGGGACAATTGTCCAGGAGACCTCTCACAGACACCTGATCTTTCCTAAACAAGCCTTTGACCAAATTCTGCAAGATAGAAATCACAGTTCCTATTTAGGTAAGGTAGAGCAGTATTTGGTTCAGCAAACTTAAGTTTGTTGAATCTCAGAGGCAGTTCAGGAAAACCCTTGCCCTGCTATCTAATTATCCTATTTATTATACATATAAATGTCCCTTTGCCGATCACGCCTTAACCCCTAGCTACTTAAGGAAACACTATATTATTAACTCATGAATCCCTTCTGATTGCTCAAGTGGTTGCAATTGCTGGAACAGGATCATGTTTCTTCCAAATGGAAATGGTTTCTAAAAGCTAGTATGATAAGTAGTAGTCTTATATTATTTTAGAACTAACTCATAGGTTTCTTGCCCTTATAATAAGCACACGCAGATTTTGAGGACTTATTATGGGACAGTTCCTGAGCTACCTGGTCTGTCTACATAAGTATTCAGTTGCTTCCAGCAGCCTTTTCAGAGTTGTTTTACCCTTGAGAGCTAATGAGTTTAAAAACTTTCCTTAAGTTCAACAACCTGGTGAGTAGTGACACAGAATATGCACGTGAACTAATTCTAAGGCCTGTTTCCATGGCCTTTTAAATTCATTCTTCATTCATTGAAGAAACTTTTGTTGAATGCCAAGTTCATAGGTGGCTGATGAGACCAACTCAGAATCTAGGGCTGGCTTTATAGGTAGAGGTCTCACCTGTGCAGCTCAAACAGCAGGAACAATTCATTTTAGAAAAAGAAAGCTGTGCCCTCTGTGCTGCCCTCAGTAGCCTAGGAACTGTGTCTCACACCTGACGTCAGAGGACTTCTGATCCCCTCTGCTAACTTTTTGACACCTTACCTGCTGACATATTTAGTGGCACTCACGTGGTGACTTGACTTCTTTTTTAGGTTACTCTGTGGCTGCGATTTCTACTGGACAAAGCACTCACTTTGTTGCCGGTGCTCCTCGGGCAAGTTATACCGGTCAGATAGTGCTGTACAGTGTTAACGAGAAAGGCAACGTCACCGTCATTCAGGCCCACAGAGGTGACCAGGTAAACCGCACTGTTTGTCAGGTGACATTCACTTTATGGACAACTGGGACAGGTGGGCAGGTGGATGGGCAGACATGGAAACTCACATGCCCCAAGTGGTACTTGGGTTCCACTCTGTGACCCGAGTTTACTTGTTATATTTCTTAAGTCTTTGCAACAATGCAAGACCTACCATCCCCTTTTGATAGCCTAATACAAGTTTAACTAGCTTTTTTTTTTTTTTTTTTTTGAGGCAGTCTCACTCTATTGCCCAGGCTGGACCAGTGCCATGACCTCAGCCCTGCTCACAGCAACCTCAAACACCTAGCCTTAAATGATCTTCCTGCATCAGCCTAGGATTACAGGCATGAGCCACCGTGCCCAACCTGTTTTTTTCTTTTTTTTTTTCATTTCTCATTCATTTCTAAATCTTTAAAAAGAGTTCACATCGACGTGCATTGAACATTGTTGAATGGGGTGAATGCTCAAAGTCCCGGCTTCTCTTACTCGACTTGATCTCCACCTCCTCCTCCTGTCTAGATCTACTTATCTGTCCTAGATCGTGCCGTGGATGCTTAAATCGTTCATGCTGTTGCACTTCTCCTCTCTGAAAACTCCTTGTCTTCTTTAAGATGTGATTTGAATCATAGCTCAGTTTCAAAGCCTCCTGACCCTCCTGCTCTCCGCTGACTCAGCATTGAGACTTGCCCCTTTGCAACCTGTCTGACCACAGCAGCTCCATTCGCGGTGCCCCAACCTCTACCCCTCCTGTTTTCTCCACAGCATCCCTCGCCTACCTACTAACGGTTTGTTGTCTTCTAAGTGTGGTCTTTGACACACTGGCATCAGTACCTGGAGCACTTACTTAAAATGCTGTGTTCTGGATCACATCCTAGGCATTGACTGCATCAGAATTTTCAGAAATGGGGCTGAGGAATCTGTATTTTGAAGACGTTTTTCTTGGTGATTCTTGTGCACACTCAGGTTTAAGAACCAGATGTTACATCTGTCATCCCTTCATGTTCTTACACCTTACGAGAAGTAAACACTTCATTTTGGTGTGATGAGTGAATGAATAAAAGTTCAGTGTAATAGTAGGAGTATATAAATCTTAGGAATCCTATTTTTTTTTTATTTTGAGATAGAGTCTCACTATGTTGCCCTCGATAGAGTGCGGTTGCATCACAGCTCACAGCAACTTCAAACTTTTGGACTTAAGTGATTCTCTTGCCTCAGCCTCCCAAGTAGCTGGGACTAAACACACCTACTACAAAACCCAGCTATTTTTGTTGCTGTTGTTGTAGTTGTCATTGTTGTTTAGCAGGCCTGGGCCAAGTTTGAACCCAGTAGCCCCCGTATTTGTGTCCAGCGCCCTAACCGCTGAGCTACGAGCACAGAACCAGGAATCCTAACATTAATGTGCTTTATGACTCCAGATTGGCTCGTATTTTGGTAGCGTGCTGTGTTCTGTTGATGTGGATAACGACAAAATTACAGATGTGCTCTTAGTGGGGGCGCCAATGTACATGAATGACCTCAAGAAAGAAGAAGGGAGAGTCTACCTGTTTACTATCATAAAGGTAAAAATATATTTTTTTATTAAGTTTATGAATTAATAAAAAATATGTGCTGTGGACAGCTTCACTGATTAAAAAAAAATTGCATTGTTTAGTGTAACATTTAGGTATACATCCAACTCTTGAAATCTCCAGTCCTCGAAAATGAAGCTTAGTATATTTTAACATCGAAAAGCACAGTTTTTTCAGCTTGCAAACCGAATGCTCTAAATCTATGCACATACACCGAGATACGTCAGTGAAATCCAAAAGGAAAACTGAGTTAAAGGCACAAGTTCACAGAGACAATTAGGTGACACTAGAGGGGGAAGGATGGAAACAGAGCAGCTGGTGGTATAATACAGCAAATACTGTGTTCGGTTGTTGTGGTATTTTGTCCTATCTTATTTATTTAAATTAATGTAAACTATAACACAATTTAAAGCAGTTATCCATACAAAGGTTTAATTGAGAATATAATAAAGGAAGGCTATCTTTACTTGCTTAAAAACTTTTAAAAAGTCCCAGCTTTTCAAATGTTCCTTGCTTGTCACATATCCTGGATCATCACTAACTGTTGAAGATGAAAAGATCTAATGACTTTATCAAAAAGTAACAAGTGAATTTCTACGAGATTAGGAGAAAACAATCAACCCTGACCCAGTTTCATGGTTGAGGAGCGTCGCTTTCTTGTGAAGTCATGAAACATTTCCAAATTTGATCGCTAAATCTGAAGGGAAAAATACGTGGGTTTGACAAGAAAACGCCTTTTCTTTGGGGCATAACTATAGGGTTTCTTATAATGGGATAGTAACAATTTCATTTTCCACTTTCTGTATTATTATAATTATGTGCCCAATCAGTAATTTTTAAATTAAGTCTAAATTAAGGTATTGTGTCTTATTTTGTTTTGTGCCTACTTAACTTCATTTAAGACACGAGTGGACTTTAGCCAGAAAATGTCCAAATCATAAAGTTTATAAACAGGTGAACATACTAATATTGGGGGAAACGAAGACAAAGGAAGGTTGTTCAGCTACAGGAAAGAAAATGATCTCCTCTCACCTTGGTTTGTGGAATTCTTGCTTATAATTCTCATCAGAAAGTGAGAACTTTGAATTCTCAGTTCAACACTGTCCACTTTTAATGTATTAAAAATTGGTTTCGTTACCAATTGCTGTGAAACTTGCTTCACACAAGTTCTGGAGTTTGCTCTAACCATCCTTCCTCCCCCCCCTGCAAGGGCATCTTGAGTCAGCACCAATTTCTTGAAGGCCCGGAGGGCTTTGAAAATGCTCGATTTGGTTCAGCGATTGCAGCTCTTTCAGACATCAACATGGATGGCTTGAACGATGTGATCGTTGGTTCACCGTTAGAAAATCAGAACTCGGGAGCTGTGTATATTTACAATGGTCATCAGGGCACTGTTCGCACGAAGTATTCCCAGGTAACCCATGAGCCACACAGTCATAATTTGAGTAGCATCATATTAGAGGTAGAGTATCATGTGGACCGTCAAGTCATCTCTCTGAATCTCACAACTTCATTCATTCGCCCAACAAATGTTTAGTGAGCATTTACTATGTGGCCAATCATAATACTATTCTAGTCTCTGGGGGCTGTGAGACTAGGACAGACTAAATTCTGCTCTTATTGACCTTACATTTTAATATAGGACACAAATGAAAAAAAAAAGAGAGAAAAATTAATAAGATAAGGTGTCTCAGGTAGTAATAAAGATAAATAAGGTAAAGCGTTCCAGATACTAATGAAGACAAAGGAATTTTTTTCAAAGGGAAAGGAAACTAAAATAAGGAGTAACATTTTAGGGATGGGAGGTATCAGGTGGCTAAAAAGCTGACTTTATTTCATTTTTTTATTTATTTTTGTTGTTGTTGCAGTTGTCATTGTTTTAGCTGGCCTGGGCCAGGTTAAAAGTCCCCAGCCTCGGTATATGTGGCTGGTGCCCGACCCACTGAGCTACAGGCGCTGCCCTGAAAAGCTGACCGTAGACGGCCTCCCTTAGTAGGCAAGTTTTGAATAAGACTTGAGGGAAAAGAGCTAACATAGGAATCTGGATCAGAACTTGCATCTGCTTCTTCCCAGTTCATTGGTCTTTTCTGTTGTTGGTTATTTTATGTTGAGGAGTCATGCTGTTTCCTGGATGAAATTCTGGCTGCAAGAATGATCCAGAGATCAGATTAGAGAAAGATTGAGAAAGCAGTGGATTCTGTGAGAATAAGGACAACTTGGAAAATGACCATATAGAGAATATAATAATCTAGTGTTGAGGCTGCCATTTTTCTGGATCAGCTGCAGTGCATTCTAAGTTTTGTGTCAAATTTTTCTCTTTTAGAAAATCTTGGGATCCGATGGAGCCTTTAAGAGCCATCTCCAGTACTTTGGGAGATCCTTGGATGGCTACAGAGATTTAAATGGGGATTCCATCACTGATGTGTCTGTTGGTGCATTTGGACAAGTGGTTCAACTCTGGTGAGTCAGTGAGAACCAGACACAAACTAGCTAATCACGGATGACCTACCAAGAAGTAGAATAGATGGCTTCGCTGATACTGGGGAAATGCTACACACATTATGTAAGACTATTGGGAATTTATTTATCATAGTTTCAGAAAGGAAGAAATATTTTTTTTCCTGGTAGAGAAAAATATATATATATTTTCTTACCATTGGTATAAAATTTCTCTTATTTATATGGTGAAAAGAAATAGTGTGTCAAACACACAAAGGCCTTGCTATCTAGGATATTTCTAAATGTTATCTTCTATAAACAGGCTTACTTCAGCTTACAGAAAGAAAGCGTCATGAGAGTGCATATAAAATACTGAAAATTCAGGCTCGGCACTTGTAGCTTAGTAGCTAGGGCACCAGCCACATAACACTGGACCTGGTGGGTTCATACCCAGCCCAGGCCTGCCAAACAACAATGACAACTACAACCAACAAATAGCTGGGCGTTGTGGTGGGCACCTGTAGTCCCAGTTACTTCTCTTGAGGCAAGAGAATTGGTTAAGCCCACAAGTTGGAGATTTCTGTGAGCTGTGATGCCACAGCACTCTACCCAGGATAGAATGTCTCAAAAATAAAAAATAAATACTGAAAACTCAGACCACACAAGTGTAACTTGTTATGTGACTAAAAGTTATATTTTAAAATTATTAGTCATAAACAAGAAGCCATTCTTTAGGCTCAGAATACTTCTCAATGATCTCCCTAGGAGTTAGAGATCGGAGGGGACTTATTCAAAAGTCATGTGATTCAAAGTCAAAAATAAGTATGTTGGGGTGGTAAGGGAATAGAAACAGAAAGAAATAATTACCTGATAAAGAGCCCCATTCATTTGTTTTTATCTGTTGAAAAATGTGCTTTAAATGTTCAAATATATCAAGGACAGAAAAACATTATTCACTGATGTTTTGTGATTTAGGAGTGTAGTGATACTATTTACAAAAGTCATTTGTGCTTTTAAAGAATGAAATGCACTGATTTTATTGCAGAATGAAACTTCTATATGGAAAAAATAAAACTCAAAAATAGTATTTAAGACTTTAGAAAAGAAGAAAATATATTTACGTCACCAAATCAGTTAAAATCATTTAAAGGTAGCCTACTGACAGGAAGTACAAAGTGTGATATAATAATATGGCTGATTTTTACACAATTTTATCACACCTCTCAGTGGGCGTCACAGTGGGCTTCACACTTAGTAGGCTGTTTGTTTACTAGACTGTGACACTCTTTCATATGGTCAGTGATGGCCAAACTTTTCTCTTTGAAGATAGATTCGATTCTTCAAAAAAGTCAAGATGCACAGAATCAAATCAGTATACTAAGATGACCAGTCGAGCTAGGTTACTGACATTTTGTAGTCGTCTTTCTGGGCAACCCCCTGAAAGCAATATTTTTAAAACAACTTTACACCATATTTAATTCAATGACATCTCGAATGGAATAAGCACTCAGTCTTTCAAAGAAAGCATTCACATAGACATTTTAGATCTTATGACTTTAAGGACATGTTGGATTTGTTCTTAAAAGTTTTATAAATACTTATTGGGGGGCCTGATATATACATATAGTTTTCAATTGACTACCATCCTTCAAATGATACCTGATTTTTTTTTTTCTTTTTTGAGACAGGGTCTCACTCTGATACCCTGAGTAGAGTGCTATGGTATCATAGCCCATAGCAACCTCAAACTCTTGGGCTTGAGCAATCCTCTGGCCTCAGCCTCCTCCATAGTAGCTGGGCCTACAGGTGTCCATCACAACATTTGGCTAATTTTTGTATTGTTTTAGTTTTTTTTAGTAGAGATGGGGGTCTTACCGTTTCTCAGCTGATCGCCAACACCCAAGCTCAAGCAATCCACCTGCCTTCATCTCCCAGAGTGTTAGGATTACGGGTGTGAGCCACGGTGCCCAGCCATGGTACCTGAAGTTTTTAAAAAATGTTTTCTATGAGGCCAGATATTGTGGCTCATGCCTATAATCCCAGCACTCTGGGAGGCCGAGGTGGGTGGATTGCTTGACCTCAGGAGTTTGAGATCAGCCTGAGCAAGAGCAAGACCCCAATTCTAAAAATAGCCAGGTATTATGGTGGATGCCTAAAGTCCCAGCTACTTGGGAGAATGAGACAAGAGAATCACTTGAGCCCAAGAGTTTGAGGTTGCCGTGAGCTGTGAAGC